CAGCCAGCCCCAAAGGACCAGGCAGGGGAAGAAGAGCAGAATGGCATTTGGCAAGGGGGCAGGGCTTACTTTGTGGTATGCTGGCCACAGGGCTGGCTGGGTTGGGGAACAGCTGGCATTTCCTGGCTGCCTCAGACCTACACTATGTGGGGTAACCTCTAGTGTTCCTCGCTGCTCCAAACTTGTGGGTCCATCATCAAGGGCAGGACAAAGGGTGACATGTATTATACCCTGTGCATTGCCACGACACAAAGCAGCACATCTGAATCACTCCATTTGACAACATCTGTTTCTAGCCTCAGAGGTTATCTTCTGCTGCTAGGGTTTCTCTGAAGTATGAAGAGCTATTGTCTGGTGCAAGTCATACTTCATTTAACCATCACTCCCCTGATTATTATCAGTCATGTTATGAAAATACAAAAATGCATTCATACCCAAAACTATGGTTCATATGAATAAAAAACATGGTAAAACTGAATATAGTTTAACATTAGTTATAAATAGAGACCAAACACTACATCAGTAAATCTAATTTGGAAAAATATCTATGCATGATACATGGCAAACCCCCAAATCAACCCTGCTTTGGGTGGGTTTATAACATACATACACACCCTGGCATGGTAAGTGACCTCCATGTGGCTCTCAACCTCCCTTTAATCCTGCCTGTGTTTGTAAGACTGACAGCTCAAGACCTGAAACTCAAACAATGGGCGTCTACATGTGATGCCATGCCACCATAGCAATGTGCTATGGCAGCGTAGCAACCACATACATCTACATGTGACAAGCTGCTACTTCACTTACTTCACTGTAGCGACATGCTCCCTCATTATAATGCGCTGCTAGGGCGAAGGAAAGGCTAAAAATAACCATGTGCCCAGCATACGGTGCAGTACGGGCTGCTACTGTGCCGTGCTTTACTATTTCCAAAAGGAAATAGTAAAGCACAGCACAGTAGCAATGTCACCATATGGGCATGTGTAGATGCACAAGTGTGACGTACTTTCTTCCTTCATTGCATTATGGGCCTCTTGTCCTCTAAGAGAAATTCTGACAGTGCTCAGGCCAGATCAGTTGTCTGAATATGATCAAGTTTTATAATGGAATTTGGTTACAACCTTCATTAGTAAGAGCATTGCCAACAGAGAGGGGAGTGATTATTCCCCTCTATTCAGCACTGGTGAGGCCACTTCTGGAGTACTGTGTTCAGTTTTGGGCTCCCTACTACAGAAAGCATGTGGACAAAATGGAGAGAGTCCAGCAGAGGGCAATGAAAATGGTTAGGTGACTGGGGGACATGACTTATGGGGAGAGGCTGAGGGAACTGGGCTTATTTAGTCTGGAGAAGAGAAGACTGAGAAGGGGATTTAATAGTAGCCTTCAGCTACCTGAAGGGTTGTGCCGAAGAGGATAGAGCTAGACTGTTCTCAGTGGTGGCAGATGACAGAACAAGGAGCAATGGTCTCAAGTTGCAGCAAGGGAAGTTTAGATTAGATAACAGGAAAAACTTTCTCACTCAGAGGGTAGTAAGGTGCTGGAGCAGGTTACCCAGAGAGGTTGTGGAATCTCCGTACTTAGAGGTTTTTATGATCCGGGTAGGCAAAGCCTTGGCTGGGGTTGTATAGCTTAGGATGGTCCTGTGTTGAGCAGGGGGTTGGATTAGATGACCTCCTGAGGTCCCTTCCAACCCTCATTTTCTATGATTCTATGATTCACTATAGCAAGGCTAGAAAATATCTCTGTAATCAGTGGTCAGAACAGACACCCCAGATCCAAACTCTGATGGGGTTCAAACCTGAACTCAGACTCTACAGCTGAGGTATGTCTCCCAGTAGCGTAACTAGGGCAGGGTGACTGGGTCAGTCATTCTGAGCACTAACTTATTTGGGGGACAAGAAAAAAAAAACTGCTGCTACAGCTGCACTATCACATTGATGGTGCAGTGGCAGCTGGAAGTCCCTGATGGTCCCATCTATAGTGGCTTCCCCAGGTTCCTGCCCACATTATTACACCTCTGATGTCTCCTAAATAAAATCGTGAATCATAAATTTAGTGAGCTTACATCATGGGAACTTATCTGTGCAGCTCCTGGGCAGATAAAAGACTCCACAGCTGAGTCAAGTGCATACTGCTGACAAATAATACCCTGCAAGCACAGAGAGCTTCCTTTTCTGTTCTGCTAACAAAAGGCTGCAAGAAGGGAGAGCTTTGAGCAGGGACAGTGTAAGTGTAAATTTGGCCAAGGCTACTCACAAGCATACAGCCCTAATTCCACTCATGTATTCTCTGAGCACAGTGGAATCAGTATAAATAATCTACCTCTGACAAGAACCCAAAAGCAATACACACCCAAATTTCAACAATCTTGCACCCTCAGGCAAGGCTTTAATGGAATCTTGTGTACTTTTGTGACAATAGAAAAAAACATTTATACTTCCAATTTATACACCCAAGTATTGCATTAGCTTTCTCAGCCATAGTCTCACACTAGAGCTCACGTTCGATTAGTTATCTTCCATTGCCCCTATGTCTTTTACAGTCTCTGCTTTCCAGTTTACAGTTCCCAATTGAGCAAGTGTGACCGTCAGTCTTTGTTTCTAGCTACAGAATTTGGGTGCACTTGGAACTCATGCTTTTCAACTGAGCCCAAATTATCTAGACAATTTCTCCACCATTATTTTCCACTCCACTGATTTCTGTCATTCTTATCATCAGCAATGATTTTATATTTTCTTCCAGATTATTGGTCATAATATTGAACAGCACTGGGCCAACCACAGATCCCTGCAGAAACACACACAGTAGATAATGATTCTCCACTTAATACTATTTTTGTGGTATATGAGAGTCCATTTTAATTCATTTAATATGTGCTGCATTTATCATAGATGGTGATAATTTTTTAATTAGGTTAGCATATAGGACCGTGAAAAAAATTCTTACGGGAAGCTGAGGTATGCTACCTAGTATTAATTATTCTACCATGCATTAATTCTTCACTGATTGCATTGCAATCTTTTTGTGGTTTTAGTGGGGATTTGAACCATAACTAGCCTGTAGTCATTCAGATAATCACATTTGCCCTTTAGATTACTGACATAAAATTGGGTCTTTTTCAGTCTTCTGAAACTCCCCTCAAGTTCCAAGATTTGTTAAAAATCAATGAGTGGTTGAGTCAGATCATTGTCCAACTGTTTCAGAATTCTTAGATACAAATTACCTGGTCCTGCAGATATAAAATAGAATCTACAGATTAACAGATTATAAATATAATCTAATATAAATATAGGAGGGACCTTTGTTAACATCTAGTGTGACCTCCTTTATAACAGAAGGTATGGGTCTTCCCTGAATCCCTTTGGACTGACCACATCTTTCAGGGAAAACATCAAATCTCAACCTGAAAATTTCAAGTGATGGAGAAACCACTACAATTCATCATAAATTATTCCATTGGCTAAGTATCATCACCATTAAAAAAACTGCCTTGTTTCTAGCCTGATGTTTAGCTTCAACTTCCAGCATTGAACCTGGTTATATATTTGTCTGCTAAAATGAAGAACCCTCTTTTCACACTTCTGCTCCTTCTTAGATATTTGTAGGCTCTGATCACAACAGCCTTTAATCTTTGTATTGATAAAATAAATAGAGCTCCAGGGCTGTTTCTTCCTAAACAGATTTTATGATCATTTACTCATCCTTGTGGCTCTTCTCCAAACCGCTCCTGAACATCCTTCCTGAATTGTGCAGTCCCAAACAAGGCACAGTCTTCCAGCAGCAGTTGTCCCTCTTCTGCCCAATAAAGACTTAATCTCCATGCTCCTGTCCAGTATTCCCATTTATATATCCAAAGGTCCCTGCTTCCTAGGACTGAGTTACCCATCCTATATGTATGTTCTTTTTTTCCAGATGGATGGTTGCACATTGAGGTGCCAGTTTACCAAGTGACTCACAGTGCTCCGAGTAATAACCTGATGGTTTTTTGCAGAGTTTATCAGGAATGATTTGTTTTCTTCCAAGTCCTTGTTAAAAATTGACCCTGCAGAATACCCCTGGAAACAATCTACTCGCTGCTGATTCTCTCATTTAACTTTAGGGCCTGCTATTGAATAGTCTATCTGTTGTTCAAATAAAACTGTGTCATTATTACTTTCAGCTGTGAACATCATCCAGCTGTTTTCCAAAATACAGAACCTGTTTTATGTTTATTGAATTTTTTTGCATTGTTATTGAAGAGTTACCATAGTAATCCCCCCCTCCCCCCGCTTGTATTTCTTGTATTTACGATTCCTTCTTACTGTCCTTAATTGAACTGCCCATGGGTTTCCATTATCTTTAGCCTCCCCTATCAATGCTTACAAGTCAGAACTGCAAAGTGATGACCCTGTCAAGTTCCCTTTCTTTCCATTTTAGATGTAAAATATTGATTTCAGGTTTGCCTTTCCTTTTTATTGCCTGGGAGGTTCCCTGTTATAGCCCAGGGTTGAGAAAGCTGGATTGCCTGGGGGCTGCTCTGCCTCACCTCTCCGCAGCACAGTCAGCCAGCGCTGCAAGAAGGGCAAAGAAGATGAGAAGTCACAGCTCTGTCTGAACGGATCAGAGGAGGGAAAGTTTCCTCGTATTAGCATGGGCTGCCCTGCAGGGGCAAATGAGCCCCCCTTTGGCCTCTGCTCCCACGGTTGAAGCCAACTGCGCGGCGGTGGCAGCGGCATTTCCAGCCATGCAGCGCCGATTGTCATCCCTCAGCCCCCGTGACTGGGGCGGGCAGGGAAGCACCGCCCACACACGGCGGGAGGCGGACGAACATGGCGCTGGGCTCGGAGGCGCTGTCGGAGCGGCCGGTGCAGCTGGCTCTGGTGCTGGCCTTCGCCTCGGGCGTGCTGGTGGGCTGGCAGGCCAATCGCGTGCGCCGCCGCTTCCTCGACTGGCGCAAGCGGCACCTGCAGGCCCAGCTGGTGGCCACGCAGAAGAAGCTGGACCTGGCCTGACAGGTGAGCGCGGCTGTGGGAAGCGGCCCCGCACCACGTGCTCGCCTTGCGCATGCGTATCCCGCGGGGCCGGGCCCTCGGCGTCCTGACAGCCCTCCACCCCCCTCCTATAGGTAGAGATGCGTGTGCACACATGCCATAGCTGTGTGAGTATACATGCATGCATATCTATATATGTGTATGTATATGTCCAGGGGGACTGGACCCGATGATCTACAAGGTCCCTTCCACCCTCTATCTATTATAGACACACACACATTTATTTATTTATATTATACACACACATATAATACAGACACACACATTATATATATATCTATATATCTATATATACATTATAGACACACACACATATGTATATGTATATATATGTGTGTGTGCATATGTCTATATGTCTATATACATCTATAGATATTGTCAGGACCAGACTTTCGGTGGGAGGGGAGGTGGCGATTGCCTTTGGCCCTGCGCGCTTTCGGGGGCCCTGCTGAGCCAGACGGGAGCTGGGCGGAGTAGCTGCAGCCCTGCCTTTCACAGTGTTAAAGGGGCCTCACACAGGCTGATTTGCCCCAGGCCCTGCACCCCTCTATGACCATCTCTGGATATGGTGTATATGTATATATGTATATAGATGTAGACAGATATGTTTTGTGCAGGGAGGGGAGAGTAGCATATAAAATGTGGCAAGATTGCTGCCTGGTTCAGACTGGCTTTGTGTCAGCATCCAAACTTCTAAATTTTGTACCGTCCTTCCGGAAAACTCCCAAACCAATATTACCAATGGTAAACTTCTAATAAGGGATGCATTATATGTTTGTGAGGGGTTAGTAAGGGGATCCTGAGCTAGGACTTGATATAGCAGAGCTCCATCTTACAATAGCAGGGCTCCCGCCCCCAGTTTTGTTTGGCAGAAGCACAGCACAGTAATGGTATTGTCTAGAAATGCCAAGTGATTTGTCCTTAGTAAAGTTTGGTTTTTAGGGGATTGATGGGCCATTAAGTTTTGGGCTGTTTGGCTGTCTTTTCTAAATTGCTGAAAACGTCATGTCTTACATCAGGGGTGTCAAACATGGACCCAAGCTGGATCTAGCTAGGTCATCCAGCCTGCCAGTTTTGCCCCTCTTGGCTGCCAGACATCCAAGTGAAAGCAGTGGTGCTGGAGCCCCAGCAGCACTGCAGGAAGAAGCCCAGCACTGCAACTTATTCCAGCAGCAGTAGCCAAGTGCCGGCCATGCCAGGGTTCTTCCCAGCAGGTCCCCCCATTTAGACTGGCCAGAGTGGGTGCTGTGTGCGCTTGATCCAGCATGCAGGGGTCCCTGTCTGTTACCTGGCCTGCTAGCAGGTCCTATGCCATGAGACCTGTCTTACATGACTGATTACTTCCTACAAGGTTTGATTTGATGTGGACATTACGCATCCTGGAACTATCACATTTGAGAGCTCTGGCATGTTTGAATGTTTGCAGGGAAGGAACATGAGTAGCAGGGGAACAGAGGTTTGCATGTGACAAGTGTTCAAAGAACAACAAAGTCCACATTTTCAAGTGCCCGTATGGCATGATGTGGTTATTATAAGCAGCGCTGACACTGTTGCATCTCCTGTACATGTCTGCCTTCTTTGAAAATGTATCGACATTATATAAGTCAGATACTACACTGTCATTTTTTAAGTTTAATTTTAAGATTTTCCATTCCAAAGGACAAATTGTAGACAGCTGTAAACAGACTGTTACATTCTACATCATTTTATAGCCTGCTCTAAATTCCTGACATTTCAAGCTTGCTTTATTGTAGCTTATCAGTCTCAATGCTGTCTGTGCTTGGAGTATTTCCAGACCTGTTTATTTTTTTGTTTTTGGGGTTTTTTTTAAATATAGTATTCTAACCTATTTTTCTTTGAGATTATTTTTCTCTCCTGCTGGAGTATTGTAACTATGGTTTAACATAAGTGAACATTGTTTTGACTGTATTTTTTATTTATAATTTAAATTACTTCAGGTTTGCAATGTAGCATTCACATCTATATTTCACTTTCTTTAACAGCCTGACTGGGATGGAAGTCGACAATTGAATGAACATAAACAGACTCCTGCTCCCTTTTTATCTAAATATATTTGAAGAAATGAGGTTTTATACAATACAAATATCTTCACACACTTCTTCACTTGAAAAAGAAGGCATCTGTGGTATAATACAGTCTCGCTTGCCCAAACTGACATCTCCAAAAATGATCTTCATGCATATTAAAATAACCTCTGTATGGCTATGATGAGTTAAATTGGTACTGTGACTGCATGTCTGTTGCCTTGTATTTTTGAGGATTGTTCTAAGGACAGTTTGACATGCCTGTTCTCAGAGACAACCCGAGCAGGGTGAGGGGCCTGGGGCAAATCAGCCTGTGCGGGGCCCTGCCCCTGGACACGAGGAAGCTGGCAGCAGATTCAGTGGCGAGGGGCCGGGGGGTGCCGAGCGGCCAGACATGAAGTTGGCAGCAGCGCGGAATCGCCGCAACCATTCCGTCTGGCTCCACAGAGCCTCCCAAAATGCCGGGCCTGGGGCAGTCACCCTGATTCGCACCCCGCAGAGACGGTCCTGTTCTATTTCTTTACTTTTCTATTTCCTTGTCCCTGTGTCTTTTGACTCTAAAGCTGCTTCTGAACAGTATATGACTCTTACCACCAAAACTGTCAATATTTAAAGCTAATAAAATGTAATTTAGATCGTTTGTTAAATACAAACTTTTGTAAAGTAAAAATATAGCTTACGAAACATGTTAAGAGCCTAATGTTAAAGCCCAGAGAGGAGGTGGGAACAAGCACGTGAGCAAAAGTCAGTGAAAATTATAGAATGGCACACAAGTATACATGGGTGAGATAAAATCATGAATTCATGATTTCATCTTAGGCATAAAATTCAGAGTCTCTATCAGTCCTTTAGACTTACTTTTTAAATCAGGAATATGTCCAGCAAAGATGCTTGTTATTTAGTAGAAGTCCTTGGGATTTTTTGATGTTTTGGGGGGGACGGGGAGACAAGGCTCAGCCTCGTGCTTCAGGTGTCTTGTCTATTGCTATTTTTCTATCTCCCTGCACTCTTATTCACAACTGTTTTCCTCCAGAATTTTCTTTCATGAATTTCAAAGGAAGTCTGTACTCATTTTAAAACACGTTGAGCAGATGATGCAAAGTATACTCCATGTAGATTCAGAATTTGGTTAGCACTTTATTCTCAAGCTAATGTAATGCTTCCCTGCTACCTCTCCTGTCATTTTGCTTTTCCTAGGGTTTCTTACATTTGAGTAGGTGACATTAGATGCTTTGGGTTGTGTGACTGGCACCTGCCACACTGAACAACAGGCTTATGTAACATTTTCTTCAAGAGTGCTAAAGATAGGTCAACAAAATGCAGTTACACTTTTACAACTAATGCTATATTAAGTTACATAAAAGTGATATGGCATACATTTTATGAGCAGGCTGTACCAAATGGGGCTGAGATCAGTATTTAATAGGTACCTGTATTATTTATTGGGCAACATGAATCATGTAATAGCTCAAACTGCACATGCTGTTAAATTATACCTGTACATTTTTTTTTTATGAATAAATATCAGGTATTTTCATAAGCTCTTTTTGCCATGGATTGTCCTAATGTGTATCCCATATTTCTTAAAAGTAAATGGTGGGAGTGACAAAGATTTCTATGCAATACCTCTAATTTTTGAACGTTCTGCGTTTAAACCATATCTGATAGTGAATTTTACCATTTTAATATGGGAACAGTGGAGACTTAGCCTGCCTGTCAGCTGCCTGCATCTAAAATGGTACAGTTCTTCTGCGGGGGTGGGGGGGCTGCAGTGGTGCCATTACACCACTCTGATTCCTGGCCCACCCAATCTCTAGCTAAAAACCTTAATTCGGGTGTAGAAATAACTGACAGTGAAGTATCGGAGGCACTGTCAAGATGCTCAAGAAAGCTAATTTAGTTTTGTGAATATGAATTAGAAATGTACATTTAACTATAATATCTACAGGACTAATGGCAGTCTGTTTTGCCCATTTTGACCTAGTTTGGTGTTTTCTTAAATTTTATGTATACAACCAAGCAAGTAAGTGCACATTCCAATAGTTATATTTGTTTTTTGCTTTGGCTGTGAACTGAATAATATAGTACTAGCCCTCTAACATATTGGTAGAGCATCTAGTTAACTGGAATTAAATACGCATTGTTCTATGTGCACATCCAGACAAGCATGGATGTTTGGTTTCCCAGGGACAATTAGCAGTGGCACACCTTGTGCCAATGCTACTTGTTCCCCGGGAATGCCTGTGCCAAGTGTGTTCTGTTGTGTGGCAGGTTACCCCAGGTGGGGTAGGGGAGGCTGGGGCAGCAACTGTGCTGGCTCCAGGAGCCTTACTTGGGGGCCTTGGGGAGCTGTAGCCACAGCCCTCCTGCAGCTGGCAACTGGAGCATGGCTCTAGCCAGCCAGGCTCTGGTTTTGGGTGGCATGTGCTGCCACCACTTGCGCTGCCCTTCTTGTTTTTGGCTTGGATTTTTTTGACCAAAAAAACCCTCTCATGCCGCAAGGCAGCGGCATGGGGAACACCTGCACGCACAGCGTGGCACTGCAGATGGGTCTGCAGAGCCACATATCGCATGCCCGCATGTCCACACTTGTCTGAACACGGCCTGTGTGATAACTAGTGCACCGTCTGCACCCACCTCCCCTTTTTCAAAATCCTAGATGTGCCCACGAATTGTTCTGTCAGAGCCCGTTTCTAAGATTATTTCCTTTCCCTTAAATGCCCCTTATGGCCAAGACTGAGGGTGTCTCTGCAGGCTTGGACGCTGTTAATGAAGGCAGCAGCTTCATCATCTTTTTCTTCCGACTCCCTGTAAGAAGTCCAGCTTGCAGAGCGCGAACCGGCCTGGCCAAACCTCTTCCATCCCGCCCGTGTCCTCATCTCTCGCCAGCCGCTTGCGCGCGCCCTGAGCTTTTTCTGGGGACTGTAGCTCCCATGATGCACTGCGGCTGCGTGGCTCGCGGCCCGGGGTTTACTGCCCCACTCTCGTTGCGTGCTGGGACTTGTCGTTCTCTGCGTTCCCGAGCGCAGAGTTCGACCCCGTGCCTCCGTTGCATGCTGGGAATGTTAGTACTTCTGTTGCCTTCGGGCTCCGTGGCAGCTAGGTCTCTGGGCGCCGCGGGAGGACGTCACCGGGGAGCGCCCGGGCGTTCGTTGCCGTGGCGACGATGGCCGGGCTGGGGCG